GGGGGGGGGGGGGGGGGGGGGGGGGGGGGGGGGGGGGGGGGGAGGGCCGGGGGGGTGCGAAACTTGGTGACTCCTAACAAGTCGATGGGCCAGAACTTCCTCAAGAACCCGATGATCGTAGAGGTACATGATAAGGCTCCAAGGTGGACTTGCAGGCGAATTTTTACCGGCGTTGTCTGGTTACCACCAGTACCGGGTACTGACTGCTGTGCCTTGTGGAAATCGAGAAACCACGGCACAGCAGTCGGTTTGACGCAAGATGATCTTGGGGTGTCAGATTGACGAAATCGTTTTTCGTCGCGGTGGTTGGACCAGCCGTACACACCAGCCACCATCGGTTGTATTGCACGTGCCCGCAAATAACACCTGCATTGTAGGTGCGTGCCTTATGACACACCCCATACCGTATAGAGTATTCCGTGCCGTACCGTACCGTAGGAGCAACGGTGAGGTAGTCAGAGGAGCTTCACCACAGTCGCTTCCCTGACACACACTATGTAGCACAACTAGCACGCCATGCACCATTTCTTTTTTTTTTCGGGTTGTTCCAGTCCACGGCGGACACCGACAATGGTATCCGTAAACTTCTTTCCCATATGCGTCTTCCACGACACTACCCTCCCTCCGCCTTAAGCCAGCCTTCGTTCCCCTCTCGGGTCTAACTTTAGACCAGCCTTCCTACTGACCCAAATAAGACGGTGCCTTTTTTTTTATCACGGCAGGGAATCGTTGACCGTGCGGCAGTGAAGCGAACAGACGTCGTTCTCGAGATCGGTCCGGGAACCGGTAACCTGACGGTCCGTCTATTGGAGAGGGCGAAGCGGGTGATTGCCGTGGAGCTGGACACAAGAATGGTCAGGGAGGTGATGAAGCGCGTGGAGGGGACGTGAGTGGCTCGGCCAGTGCGTTGGGTTCTTTCGCCGCTCGTTTGACTCCATGCTCGTACCCCGCATGCAGTAGTTGTTCGTTGCTGTTGTTGTTGTTGTTGTTGTTGTTGTTGTTGTTGTTGTTGATGGTGGTGGTGCTGGTACTGGTGGTTTTGTTGTGGTTGTTGTCATCGCTGCTGCTACTGTTGGTGCTGTTAACTTGGGTCAGCAGATGCCATTTTTTTTTTTTCGGAGCACACTGTCAGCGGATTGCAGCAGAGAACACACGCACTACGGGACTGCGGGCGACACCACAGAGCAGACAACACACGCAGAGCAGACAGCGTGCGCACAACAGGCGACACACACGCACAGCGGGCGACAGCATCTGGGCTCGATGCCGCTGGACTCTCCGTGGTGTGATGAGGCTATGTATTGCTCTGTCGCGCATGTTTTTTTTTACCGCCGCGTGCACCTGCCAGCAATGTGAGCACATCACCACATTAGTTCTCGAAACCTAGGACGCCGATCGCCATCGCGCCACTTCGAGCGTGTGTGCTCTATTGTGGTGTCTCTGGGCGTGATAGCTGTGTTCGGCACGGGTGCTGTATGTGGCGAGAGCATCGTGGCGATGTGAAATCCGGTTTGGCTTTTTCGCCTGGCGATGCGGCCCGATTGCCCGGGCCAAAACAAACGATTTGGATTCCACGCCGCCACGAACATCTTCCCATACACAGCACCCATGCCTAACACAACTGTCACGCCCCGATATATCGCAATGGAGCACATGCTCGAAGTGGTGCCACGACCATTGGTGCGCTAGGTGACGAGAACTAACTTGTGTCCTGCTGTTTCGCTGGAAGTTGGAAAAACACCGAACAGAATAAGAGGGAACAGGGGGTTCAGCACTATTAAAGTACGCGCGGGGTGTGTATGACCGCGAAATTTTTCAAAGCGGGATGCGGACGGGGGGGGGGTAGCCGGTAGGTGAAAGTTAACCGCAGATCTTACACCAGCATAGCAGGTACGTGTAGTATCAAGTGTGTGGTGTTTGCACTCTGTTTCCGCCCGTGGACGCACACGTCTGACGACAGTTACGTTACACCCATCAGCTGTCGCTCGTTGTAGCGACAGCTAGTATATCTTCGCAGAACCAAAAATAAAATAGCGTTAGCATTCCTTTGCTGCTCCTTGCCATCCTTGGCACCTTTTGCTCGACCGGGATACGTGATTTGAGGTATTGCGATGAACGTGAGTACAGTCGTGGTCCCGGCGGTAGCGGTTCCTCTAATTCCTTCCCTTTGTGTAGCGGGATGCCCTGAGTAGCGGTTCCAAAACCTCGTGGCGCGGCTACCCCTCGGCAGTCAAACGACTATATAACTGCCACGCCGTTTAGCTGTGATTGCCCTCAATAGCGGTTGGAACATTTGTCGACACTATGGACAGCTACACCGGAACCAAGGCTGTAATCAGCTGCCCCCCCCCACCCATCCCTCATGCTGCCCTTCCGCCTCGCCTCGCCTGTGTTGCAGAGAGTGGGAAAAATCGCTCCAGATCATCCAGGGGGACGTGCTGAAGGTGCCCCTGCCCTTCTTCGATGTGCTCGTGGCAAACGTTCCGTACAACGTGAGAAGAGGCAACGGCAATGGGTACCGTGTATGACACAAGATAACACACCCCCTTGACCCATTTTGGAAGCTCGATTTCTCAACTGCAGGAACAGTCACAGCGCCGAAAACGGCGGCGTTGAAACCGTCTCGTCGAGAGCTTTTTGGAAATGTATCGTTTCGTTTATGCATCCTCTTCGTCGTGGAGAAATAGAGCTTTGAAAATCGGTCCAGGGGGGTGTGTTATCTTGTGTCATATACGGTAATCGTTGCTGGTGTTGTTGTTGCTGCTCGCGATGTTGCTGGAATTTGGTGAGGGAGTGGGTCAATGGCGAATCGGCGGCACGTGAAGGATGGACGGATGCATGCACTTTCCTTCCCTCTTCCCCTCTTCCCCTCTCCCCCTCCTCCCCCCCCCGCCCAACAGTATGACGCCCCCCGAGGTGATCACGGCTAACTCACGCTGTTGTTTTTCTGTCTCCTCTTTTGTTGTGTTTTGTCAGATATCGTCGCCTTTGCTGTTCAAGCTCTTGGCGCACCGCCCGATGTTCCGTTGTGCGGTGATCATGTTCCAGGAGGAGTTCGCGCAAAGACTTACCGCCAGGTGCGTCGGTGTTGTTGTTGTTGTTCTTGCTGTTGGCTCGTGCTGCCATTGCCATTGCTTGTTGCTGTGATGCTATTTTGTTGTATTCTTCTCATTGCTGTTGTTCTTGTTCCTGCTGTTGTTGTTGTCACTGCTGTAGTTGGTGTTGTTTCATTGTTGTTATTGTTGTTGTTACTGCTGTTGTTGCTGCTGTCACTGCTGTAGTTGGTGTTGTCTCATTGTTGTTATTGTTGTTGTTACTGCTGTTGTTGCTGCTGTCACTGCTGTAGTTGGTGTTGTTTCATTGTTGTTATTGTTGTTACTGCTGTCACTGCTGTAGTTGTTGTTGTTTCATTGTTGTTATTGTTCTTGTTCCTGCTGTTGTTGCTGCTGTCACTGCTGTAGTTGGTATTGTTTCATTGTTGTTATTGTTGTTGTTACTGCTGTCACTGCTGTAGTTGGTGTTGTTTCATTGTTGTTATTCTTGTTCCTGCTGCTGTTGCTGCTGTCACTGCTGTAGTTGGTGTTGTTTGTGGTGGTGTTGCTTTGTTCTTGTGCGTGTTGTCAACTTTGCTGCTGCTGTTGCTGTTGCTGCTGTCAACGGCGATGGCGGCGGTGGTTGCATGTTGTCAAGTAATCTTCTCGTGTGTTGGTCGTTAGCTTGTTGCTAGCTTGTGTTGATTGACTCTGCCTACCCCTACCCCTACCCCGCCCCTGCCGTCTATTTCTGGTGTTTTTTGCGGGAAGGCCAAACACAGACATGTGGTGCCGCCTATCCGTGAACACGCAGCTCTTGGCGAAGGTCGACCAGCTCTTTAAGGTACCCCCTGAACCTACTGTAGTCTAGGGTGCCACACGGCGGTACTGCTGGTGTAGACACATGGCCAAAATCGTGTTAACACTGCAACACAGAACTGCCGTGGCTGCATGCCAAGAGTCTGTGAGAGTAGGCCGCAATGGACGGCCGGGAGTGACATACGTAAATGTATGAAATCAGTAGCTCAGGGCCAGCGTGGTCCTAGCTACTTGTAGCGTGCGTTTTTCGAACGTCAGCAAGCTGGATGTGGCTGTGCTGCAACGCCTTGAAGGCCTCCTTGACTTTCAGTGTTGCGGCACTCTTGACGAGAAACCGTTACGACTCCGCTCTGTTTACCTTTGTCTCTGCCATCGCACGCCCGCGTTCACCGCCTCGCCCGCGCCTCACCCACCCCCCGTCGCCCCGCCTCGTTTTCACTGATCCATTCATCCGTGGAACCAAACCCGTGCGCCTTCGAGCACAGGTAAATCGGAACAATTTCCGTCCGCCTCCCAAGGTGGACTCGCGCGTGGTCCGAATAGAACTGCGCAACCCTCCGCCGCCGGTGAACTTCACGGAGTGGGACGGCATGATCCGCGTGATCTTCAACCGCAAGCACAAGACGCTGCGGGCGACGCTGACGACCAAGGCCACTCTCAAGGCGTGTGTCGTGGTGTGGTGGGGTCCCATTACCGATGGTCTTTCGGCAGAAGTGCTCATGACATGATGTAAAACACGGCAGGGGAGAATTGTCAAATTTGGTTTCTTGGCTGATCCCCCCACGTTAGTGGTTCCAGTACCTCCTTCAGAAAGCGTTGCTTTGCCGCTTTGAGTTACTGCACAAAATTTGGACTCAGGAGCCTATGGCTCCTTGACAATGGATGGATGACCCCCCCCCACCGTGCAACACTCGTTCCCCTGCCCATACAACGCAGCTGCTGGCGAGCAACGTCAACACGTACCGAGCGATCAGCAGGGCGGCGGCAGGGGGGAGCGTATCCGTAGGCGGGGGCCGCGCAAAGTCGACGGCAAAGCCGGCAAGGGGTGTTGCTGCTGCCGTAGACGCTATGGACGAGGAGGGGGAGGAAGACGGGGGGGACGGTCGTGCTACGGAAGCGGAGGTGAAGGAGATGGTGGAAAGCGTGCTGGAGAATGAGTCACTGGAGGGGAGGAGGGCCGCTAGCATGGACATCGACGACCTGCTGGCGCTGCTGTCTGCCTTCAACGAAAAGGGCGTCCACTTTGCCTGATTGACTACGTCGATCCCATGCGCCATACGGAATATGGTATAAGGAATGTTTCGTCAATAACACGGTATGGCATGTAGTTGCGTCCTTTCGTGATGGCTTCTAGTAGGTTGAGGTGGTGTCATTGGTTGGATTTTCAGGTCGGTCGGCTTTGTTGGCTCATGAAGGAAGGGGCTATGGTGCTGTACGGAGCAACGTTGTTTCCGATCGGAGTGAGCCACTGCCTGTTGGTTTAGGCTTCGGGGTACAAGGCCGAAGATTATGCGATGGTGTACTGCTGTTCTCCCTGCTTTGCTCGTTCACAACTGTGGCGTATGAGTATGTATTCAAGGGGGGCATGTGGTTCACGTTGTGGTTGGTTCGCTGGAATGGAAGAAGATGAGATTGAAATGGCCGAACCGCTTCGTAAAGGGAGAGCCTATGGCGTTTTTTTTTAGCCCGACGACGGCTAGGTTTGTCGCCACTACCACTACCCCCCGGGCATGCATGCACTGGAGTAGTGTTCCGCGGCGGTGACGGTTCTTGTTTGGTATATGTAGGCCTACCTGGTCCCACGAACTTGTTGAATCTTGGCGTCGCACGGAAGTCTGTCTTTCTTGCCCGGCATTGGTACAATATCGGTGCGGTGCGGTCGGAACTATCCCGGGAGCAGAAATGACACATCCACCCACACGATGTACGCGTATTGTTTTCGTGCGGTGCAGTTCGCCCAGAGCCGTTAAAGTCCACCGAATTTTCTGTTTGAGCCTGCTATACACACGGGAAGGGAGATTACTGCTGTATGTCAGACGATGATCAGCATGGCACAGCAGTGTTGTGAATCGTGGTCGATCGAAAGGAAAGATCTGTTTGGTATGCACGAAACCGCATGTCTTATTGTTTGCAATCACACCTACTCGATTGAAACCCCTGCGCTATAAGCGTGTTTCAATTTGTCGTTCGCACAACGGCATAGACCATGTCATGTTGGGTCGACGAACCAAATCAACCCGATGTGCAAGCAGTGCGAGTAGGACACTTTGGCCTACAACTCATCGGTTAAGATATAGTCTATCATGCCAAGATATCATGTCAAGATACCATGTCAAAACAAAGCGTTGGGATGGTGCAATCAAGGGACAAGACACGGAAGATGTTGATCTCAACGGGGAACGTGCGACGAGAACTTGGATTGTCCCGCTCGGAGTCTGTGCACATTATACGGCATGTATACGCACGCCTGTCAGTTGACGAATGACGCGAGCAAAAATAAAAAGAAAAATCACCAGCTACCCTCTACTCCAATTTCTGCCGTACGCGCGAAACTGGACACGATACGATACCTGAGGCTGGAAGCAGCACAGCAGCAAAACATGAAATGGGACTGTCACCTACCCCGCCTATCACGAATGTTCCCAGCCTATCCAAACCCCCGGTACTGAGCACTCGTCTTGTTGGTCCTAACAAAAATATTGTACACCCCACCCCCCGCCCGTCCCTCCTATGTTTTATAGAGTAAATGGTTTCATACAGTTTAACTGCAACTCTAGGCCCAAGCCTCTTCACCCGTAGGCACAATCAATCGCACATCTCTCGCAACTAGTTTGTCATTTTTTGTAATACTATAAATATAGACTATTAGACTATATCGGAACCCCCACCGATGCTGAAGGCACTCGGGTTGAAAAGAACTACAAGTACTACAGTACTGCTATTTTACATCTCGATCTCAAACACTTGCCCTCTCCCCCCCCGTGGTATGTCGACGGTCCTACACGTTGGATTCTACTGTACTACGTAGGCCCACCTCATCGACCCTTAGGCACAAACACACATACGCATGCATGCATACGTCACGACCACGTAGTCCGTGCTCTGAACCCACGTCCACCGGTGCCGGATGCACTCGATTTGACCCGAAAGGTTGTTTTGTACACCTCGATTCACACCCGAACTCCCCGCATCAGAGGGCCCCACAAGTTGAACTACCTTCCACTTCTCTAGTTCTGCCTCAAATNTTGGCACACGTATTCCTCTCCTCCCCGTGCCGTATGGGCCCAAACGTTGCACTCTAGGCCCAGGCTTTTTTCTCTACCTTTACTGTAGGAACCAACACACATCTAATCTCAACCCCCGCTCGCCGGTGGTAATGGCACCCGGCTTGATCCGAAGTAACATTGCACACCTTGATTTGGCACACGTATTCCTCTCCTCCCCGTGCCGTATGGGCCCAAACGTTGCACTCTAGGCCCAGGCTTTTTTCTCTACCTTTACTGTAGGAACCAACACACATCTAATCTCAACCCCCGCTCGCCGGTGGTAATGGCACCCGGCTTGATCCGAAGTAACATTGCACACCTTGATTTGGCACACGTATTCCTCTCCCCCCCGTGCCGTATGACCCCAAACGTTGCACTCTACTCTAGGCCCAGGCTCTTCCTCTACCTTTACCGTAGGCACCAACACACATCTAATCTCAACCCCCGCTCGCCGGTGGTAATGGCACCCGGCTTGATCCGAAGTAACATTGCACACCTTGATTTGGCACACGTATTCCTCTCCCCCCCGTGCCGTATGACCCCAAACGTTGCACTCTACTCTAGGCCCGGGGTCTTTCTCTACTTGTAGGCACCAACGCATCGTTTTCGCAACACATACTCTCA